CTGGCCCAATCCCTGCCTACCCTTGTTTACTTCTAAGCAGACCCCATTAAGCCGTGGGCACTTGGCTTGATTACTCTCCAGATCAAAGTTAAATTAAATTACCCAAATGAGCTTCTTTTCAGAGAGAGAGATGCACAGGCTGACTCACCTTCCAGAAGCTATCCACTTTGCCATACACCAGGGACTGGTTCTGCCTTTTGATTTCGTTAATGTGGTGGATGTCGCTGGAGTTCAGGTGCTGCTCAACCACGAATCCCAGGAAGCTGTTGTCTGGGGTATGAGCTGATGTGGAGAGGAAGGGACAGGGTGGTTAGGATTGAATCAGCCAGGAGAAACAACAGTAATTACAAATTTAACACAAGCCATCTTGCACATAATTAAATGTTTTCATTTTAATGCTCTTTCTTAACTGGGGAGGGCAAGGGAGTGCCAGCTCCCACCCGGCCCCAGCAGAAACCTTCATAGGAGAAGAATCCTCCCCAGGATGGATTAACCCAAAGCCAACCCTGAACCAAATCCTGCTGTTTCCAGTGGAGAGTACCTCTGTTTAAAAGCCATTCAGCTGGGCCCTCCCTTCCTTCCGGCATCTTCAGTGCAAAGCTACTATCTCCTGACAAAAATGTCCTCACTAGGTTTTACCAGCTGGTGGCCCGAAATCCACAGGGAGCAGGGCTGCATCAGTAGTTCTCCACTGGGCCCCACACGGTCTCATCTGACTCGAGCCGTGTTCCCCATCCAGGTGGGTCAAAGTGGATTTGGGGGCAAAACCAAGTAATATCACCCCAACCCTGCACCTTCTCTAAGAATCACTCACTCGTGGAAGATGTGATTCTGGGGCCATACTGAATGGATGGATGAGACTAAGACAGGAGAAAAGATGAAGTTCACTGGGACGTGAACCACCCCACAAAAGCCAACCACCACAAAGAATCATGTCTGGTCTCCAGGAGAGACTATTCCGGAAGAGAAAAGGCACTCTCTGGACCACTCATCATCTGAGTTCCAAAACGTCTCTAACACTTTGACCAAGGGAGAAAGCAACCCCACACCCTCCTCAAACTTTTGTCTCCTTTGTCTACAGTCTTACAAAGTAATGTCATCAGAAGGCAGCCGTCAGAAAACAAGGCTCTCTTGGTGAGCCAGAGACCCTCCCCTCCCATACAGTCACCAGTCCAGAGAAATCTGCTTCGCAGGAGATGGCCCTGCAGAGGCCCACAATATGATGTGAAGCAACTGCTGGGTTTGACACTGACCTGAATAGAACAGTTAAAAATAACTTCAATGGAGAACTACTCGATATTCAGTAAAATCCGTACATCGTTGCTCCCACACTACTCATTCACAGGTGGGGCATGGACAAACGGACAAAGGTGGTTCCTTTGTCTTGCTTCTGTGTCCTCAGCCCTCAGGAGCCTCTCCCAGGCGGGAAGTGGGCAGAGCAGCCTTTAAGATGCTCTAGGGAATCTCAAGGTCCCGGCCCCTTCATGCACCCACAGGAAGATGAACGGGAGAGGGCAGGGGGCCCTGAACCGAGGACAGGAACGAGCTGCATAAATACTCCTCATCACCATCCGGTCTCCCAGGCCGCAGCCTAATGGAGGTGGCAGAACGAGGAGATAACAGCGTTGTGACTGGGGAGTTGTGTGCAGTCTGGCCAATCTGGTACTTCATTTCTGCGTTTTTGAACAAGTGCCCAGAGGCAATGGCCATGGCTGTAGTTGGCTGGGAAGCAAATTACTGAATACATTCCACTGCCAACAAGAGGCAATGGTTGCTTTTTTTCCCTTTGTGAGGAGCTGGCAGGAGGGGATTGGAAAAAGCATCGGGGAGGGGAAGAGAACCTGCCTGCATCTGAAATGTTGAGAAGGCTGCTTAAAGTATCCCTTTGTATGAGACTTTGGGTTAATCGCAAAAATTCTGAAATAGAATCTGACACTTTAAACTTTGAGATCGTGGTTTTTTTATTTTCAGAAAACTTACGCGGTGATGAAAGCTCCACGCTTTGGATATTTGTTCCCGCAGTTCGGTTATCTAGTCTCTAGGTGGGCCCTTCTTAAAGAATGAAATAATCTAGCATCTACAGCATCTTAACAGGTTGGAAAAATAAAGTGATCGTCAAAACCCAAAAAGAAAAGAACTCATATGTTTATATTTTTGTATAAAAGGTTCCCCATGGCTTGAACAGTGAAAGAGAGGGGAAGTAAATAATTTACTCAAAAAACTTGTG